TGGGCCCTCGGCCCAGTCAGGATGAAACGCCCGGGTTCCGAGTTAGCTTAGGCTCGCGCTTCCAGGAGAGACGGGGGTTCCTCAGGCTTAGGGCTGGCTCCTGAGAAGCCCCGCAGACCGAGCAGGAGCAGGCGCGCACGGTGGGAGAGAGGCTTGGGGAGAGCGGCTGATCTCCGAGGATTCACGGAAATCCAGTTTAAGAGAGAGAAGCTCAGAGAAAAGAAAATCTTTTTATAAGGCGTGGTGGTGTCAAGAAATCGCAGAGCACAATCCAGTTCCGCCGCATCACGCACAGCCCGCCTCCTGGCTGGGTGCTCCCGACTCACGGTGCCACGCGCAGTTGCTCACCAGGCGGAAATGGGAGAGAGCCTGTCTCGGGTATTTTTGAAGCGGGTCCAGTGGGTTCCCATGAACCGCTGTTCCCTTTGAGGGTGAAAAGAAGGAACTTGATTCTATACAACAGGAAAGTTTGAGGCACAGCCCTTTTTTAAGAGAGCTAAAATGTTGCTTTTCAACCAATGGTTTTACTTCCCGCAGATGTTCAGAATGACAGTCAGGACACGTAAAAGGAGGCGCCAAAAACTGCAGCATTGGCTGTTCAGGCCAATGAAGGAATGAAACTTTGTGGTCGGTTCAGTGTGTTTGATCGCACCCTCTTGCTGTTTGCTTTATAATAACACGGGAATGATGTTAACACAGCAAGATTAGAGGAGCGGCCTCAGCCGGCCTGCAAATCTGGAGTCTCCATGACCTGCAGGTCCACTGAGGAGGGCCTGGAAATCTGTGTGCACAGTGCCCTGCCCGCCCCCCACCCTGGAGGAGGCTCAGAGCCCTTGTCAGGGGAGCAGACATTGAAGGTGGCTCAGTGACCGCCTCATCCTGGAGGCAGACACTGGAGGGACCCCAAAGTTTTCTCCCTGAAGTGGGGGCAGGAGGCACTTTTACATGGACCCCCCCACCAGCATCCCTAAGCTTGCCCCATGGCTGTTACACATATACCCTTTCCTCTCCGTGTAAACACGGAAATCCCCAAAAATCTCAACAGCAAAAAATCAAAATCCCTCCTCCTTGTTTTCAGTGCACATCTGGAAGAAACCGACATTGTCATCAGCTCATGTGGAGAAAGACTAGATCAGTACTTACCAAAAATGATGAGAATCACATTGAGGTTGTGGATCATTTTTGTCTAAATTGTTGAGATTAAAGCAAAACAAAACACATTTAAAAAAAAAAAAAAATGATGGCCCTGGCTGGTGTGGCTCAGTTGGTTGGGCATCAGCCCATGCACCAAAAGGTTGTCAGTTCTATTCTGGTCAGGACACTGGCCAGGGTTGTGGGCTCCATTCCCAGTAGGGGACATGCAGGCAGCAGCTGATTGATGTTTCATTCTCACATCAATGTTTTTCTCGGCCTCTCCCTTCCTCTCTCTCTGAAAAATCAATTTAAAAAATCTTTAAAAAATATATATATATATAATAAGTGATGGATTTTTACCCGTAATACGTAAGGCTCTCTTTTAGTCTGACCCCACTTTTGTAGCTTGACTTCAGGAGGCCCTCCTAATTTCTCAGCCTCAGCTATATCGCAGTATGGATTCATGTTCTAGAATCTCTTCATTGTCATTAAGGCTCTGTGTACAGCAGTGTGTGGTAGATCAGATTAGTGAACATTATTATTATTATTTATATAAATGCCATCTTGATATGCTCCACCAAAATTGGTGTGTCTTACCTCTATAGATCTTACCAAGTATGTTTAGTTCTCAAAAGAAATCACTGTTACCATAGTACTTAACATTGGTTTATTACATTTTTTTATGATACATATTCAAAATTACATTTATCTTGTTATTGGCAAGTCAAATATTTTTCAGTGTAGCATGATTTTTTTTCCCCCTCTTCTAATCATTTGTTTATTTTAGGCCTGTTTCTGGGTGGATAAGCTCTGGCTTATTTTTAAATGCATTGTACCATGTAATTTGCCTGGACTTGAACTGAGAGGGGAATGGCTATGTTATTTCGAATACAACAGTGACCAATTTAGAGGCTTTGAGGATTCCACTGTGTTCATAAATCATCTCTCACAGTTCACCTAAAGAAAAGTAAATGATTAAAAAATGACCTTTTTTCCCCTCCCAGGAAGGCAAGATTAATTAGTTTTATAACGTGTGGGATATTTCAGCGTTTACCTGATTCTTCCATCTGAAACCTTTGGGGTTAAATCTTTGAGGGTTTAAAAAATATATATCTCATTAGCATTCATTGCTATTTATAGCATATAGTTTTATTTCAGTTTGTCTACTTAAAAATAGTATTTTAATATAAATTTAGATGCATACCCTCATGTATTACTGCTGAATTACACGATGCTTTCCAAAATCATTAAGTGGTAAACCGTTGTGTGAAAAGCAATGAACCTTCCAGAACCAAAGGGGAGTTCTATAAATCTCTATTAAAGGGCCCATTAGCAATGCAATTGTCACACCTCTCCTTACCTAGGAGAAGCAGAATAAAGACATCAGGCATGGATCTTTGCTCAGAGGTGGAAAAACTCAGCAAGTTTCTTCTTAGGCAGGGGTTGCTTATGCGGTTTATTTAAATCTGAGTTATGAGTCCACATTGTTTTAAATGACTATAAAAATGGGACTCATTATGTTCTCAGCAGACACACGTGCCCTTTGGCAATACCAAGTGTGCTTATTCATTGTAACATGCTCGTTAAAAAGTCACCTCCCCTTGAGGCTGGCAGCGCCATTCTCATTCAGCAAAGTCTGAGCTCAAAGAGCTGCAAGCTCCCAAGTCCCCTGTTGCTGGGCCTGGAGAGAATCTCGGGGTGAGAAGACAGGGCTGGACAGGTGGGTGTCGCTGAACATCCCGAAGGGAACGGTCCCTTGGAGGATTTTCAGATTAGCATTCTCGCTGCAATGTATCAAGAGTGACTACCCCCTGTTGCCCTTTGGGAAACTACCAGGATTGCGGCTGACCCCAGACCTCTGGCACCCGGACATCTGGGGCCCTCAAGTTTGCTTAGGAGACAACTTTGGGCACGGAGGCAGAAAGGCAGTGCCTTCCAACATCATTCAGACTAAGTTAAGGAGGACCGGGTCCAGGCCAGCATTTGGACCAGAGCTTTGGCTCTGGAGGACAGGGGAAATAGTAGATGCGTTGGGTGAGCTTGCTAATAAGAAGCTTACATCAATTAACATATTCACAGCTCTGCTCTTAGGAATTCAGCTTTTCCTACCAGTCATCACTGAAGCTGCCCTCAGGAAATAAGGGTGTCCCCCTAAAATGTATACACACTTCAACAGCTGTTAGCTCAGGGGTTTTTTTGTTTGCTTTTTGGTTTTTTTTAATCGTCACTCTAGGATATTTTTCCCATTTCTTTTCAGAGAGAGTGGAAGGGAGAGAGAGAGAGGGAGAGAAACATCCATGTGAGAGAGACACATCAATTGGTTGCCTTCCACGCATGCTGGGTGGGACTGAGCCTGCAACCGAGGTACGTGCCCTTGGCTGGAATCGAACCCGGGACCCTTCAGTCCACAGGCTGACGCTCTTAACCACCGAGCCAAACCGGCCAGGGCTGATAGCTCAGTTTTGCAAATGAAATGTATTTTAATAAACACTGCCTTTATCATTATTCAAATTGTGTGTATACATTTTGGGGGATACCCTCTATAAGTAGCCTTAAATAACTTAGTTCCATTCTAGATCGCAGGTAAATACACACTTGTTTTGCTATTGTGGGACAATTTAGAAACTCAGCGTGCTGACTTCTGTTATAAAAGTTAATTAGAAGCTGTGAACTTTTTTCCTAGATGAAAAACTAGACTCCGTAAAATTTTATGTGGGCTTTATTTTGTATCGACCCAAGAACTTGCCTTAACTTTCCAAATTTAATTTATTTCCCATCCATTGGACAATTTATGTCACTCCTGTTTAAAAAACTTGCAAATAAGCTCTATTAGAGGTAGATTTGTGTGCTTTTTTAAGGTTTATTTCCAGAATTTTTAAACTTAATTCATTTAACTGAACTTTGAACATAAATGGTTTATAAATTAAGTGAAAATGTCACTCTAGAGAGTAAAACTACTCCAGATTTACACATTGGAGGGCCCAGTTCACTGTCTTAAACTCACAAGTTTGTTCTCTCTACTGCTCTCAGCTGACACTCCACACTTCAGCTTGTAGTTCAGCCAAATTCCATATTCCTAATTTATTGCTATTTGGTTTATTATGTAAAGGGATACAATGAAAATTGACAAGAAAATAACTCAGTCACTATATATTTTCTTAGCAATTCTTTGCTGGACTGCATCTATTCTAGCAAACAAGATACCTCTTAATTAATTAGCAAAAATAGGGCATCATCTCTCCTGTGAATTGTTTTCTTTGACAGAAAAGGATGAGCCCCCACTTAGCAAGGCCGGGCAGGATGTGGTTTTGCGTCTGCCCACAGACGAGCTGATTCTGGATGGCCGCGAGAGCACAGACGACCATGCCATCGTCCAGTATGCGTGGGCGCTGCTGCAGGGTGACCCGGCCGTGGACATGAAGGTAATTCCTGTCGTCATTGTCATGAAAACTGATGTTTCAGGGAAGCTTTCTTTGGTTATGTCCCTCCACTTACGTTCCCAAAATGTCTTTTAGCTAGTAGGAGAAGTTACAAAATCGAGAAAGTATAAAAGTGATTGTCCAAAAAATGGTTTATTCTATAAATTTATTTTTCTGCTGAGTAAACAGTGGTCCTGATCCTTTGTTTTGAAGCTTACTTTGTTCTGCTTTTTTTAAAAAAATCCTCACTTGAAGATATTTTTTCCACTGATTTTTAGAGAGAGTGGAAGGGAGGGAGGAGAGAGAGAGAGAGGGGAACATCGATGTGAGAGAGACACATCGATTGCTTACCTCCCCGATGAGCCCCGACCGGGCTGAGGATTGGACCTGCAGCTTCTCTAGAGTACAAAAAAGCTTCGAGGAAAAAGACACGTGATTTGTTTTAATGACTCAGATCACTCTTTACAATTTTGATTTCTTCTTTTCTTAGTTCACAGTCCAGGTAGAAAATCTGAAACTTACAAAGGAGCATAAAGAGGAACAGAGCAGTAGAACAAAGTCATTTTTCTGAAGACCCAGGGGCGCTCCCTTCCCCAGTGCCTAGGCCTGCTCGAGGCGGCCGAGAGAACCATCTGCGGCCGGGGCCGGGGGCTCCGGAACGGCCTCCACGGGCTTTCACCCGCTGGGCTGGGCCTGGCTGCCAGGGCTGCGTCGGGAAGGAGCTCCTAGTGAGCAGCTGCACACTGTTAGCAGCGTTTCNAGCTCCTAGTGAGCAGCTGCGCACTGTTAGCAGCATTTCCTGGCTTGGGCGGATAAACTTCATGCAGAGCACTTCAATTAGAGAAAGTGGGGGAAATCTGTGTTGGTTTTCTAGGGCCTCTGCAACGAAGTTTCATAGATTGTGTGGGTTAAACAACCTATGTGTATGTTCTCACGGTGCTGGAGCGGGGAGTCCAATGGCAGGGTTGGTTTCTTCTAAGGCCTCACTTCTTGGCTTGTAGTTGGCTGTCTTTTCCTTCCTGTGTCTTCATCCGACGTTGGGGAAGCAATGGTTTATGTTCTATTGAAACAAAACCGAAAACGATCACCTAGTGCCTCAGGCTGGTTGACGTACACTGATTTCCTCAGTGGTCATGCAGTCTTAGCATCGGGCTGGCCCCTTGTTCCGCACGATAACCAGCCTCCCACCCATGTAAGAGCCCCTTCTATGACCTCCTTTCCAGGGGTCTCCCACTCTCCGCCTAGGTATCCCCAGAGATGAACGCTCACTGCTTCACCTCAGGTCCTGTGACATCTTTAATCAGCTGTAATTATTAGGCAGACAGGCTATGCCTCCCTGTGACTTCTGTGCATTGGTGCTGGCTCTTCTCTTTGGAAAAGCACTGGACACATCTTTCTTTATTCTGTGTGACAGTCCCTTAGCTCTTTTGGAAAAAAATGAACGTCACCACTTGGAATGCTCTTCTCAGAACACAGTCCTCCCCCTTCTCTCAGGCGTTCTTCATGTGAGTTGATTTCCAGACCATCCACCATCCAGCCTCTTCTGGATTTTCTCAGAATCATGCATGCTTCCAAAAGTCTGTCACCCTCCTTGAACCCCATATGTCAACTGAAGATATGTGTATGTATCTGACACAGATATCTGCTCCTGTGATCCAGATATTGTCTCTACTTCTATTAATGAAGCTTAATTTATGTAAACTATTTTGGTAGCTGCATCACGTGCATGTGGAGTTTTCCATTAGCAGGATTACCTAAAACCCGCTTCACCTTTACACTAACAGCTGCCCTGATGGCCTCCCCATCTTTCTTGTGAAATTGATTTATTGAACCTGAGTACAGGCCCTTATATTTCTCCTTTTTACATCTCAATAGAAATAATTTTGAACTTTCAGTGTCATCCATCATGTTTATTCTCCTTTTATGCATTGTGTCAGCTGCAAAACTAATATATCTCTACTGAAATCTCTGAGAACTAAGGTTGATGAGGAAAGGTGCATGGACAAGTGGCTGATCGGACACGAGCGAGTTTCCCTGAGATGGACACTCACTATTAACTGGCACTTCTGGCATCTATTTGTTCGAGCAGCTACAAACTTGCCTCTGTTGTTTAGCTTTTCATCTATATTACTAAGGCTTTATTCTGTAAATGATGAATTGCGTATAAGGGTGTTAAATAAAAATAATGCTGATGATTTAGTATTTAATTTATTGAAGTATTTATAAAGGAGCAACAAAATTAGATATTTCTTGTAAACTTTTAGAGCTGACGCCTGTGCCTTCAAAAGGAAAGTCTGGACCAATTCCCCAGTCAAGTTTATACCAGTGATGGCAGAGAGACCTGAAGTTATAAAACCATCATCTAAGTGACAAAGTCTGTGATGGGATAATGCCCCCAAAAGTAAACTCTCATCCTACGATGACTTCATCATAATAAAGCCATATTGACTGAGCAATTTAGACATATCTGTAATCCTCACAGCAAGCTCACTGGTAGTACACTCCCATGTTGTGGATTAAGATTGTCATAAAAAAGCTGTGAATGGCAAGAGGTTACTGAGCTTCTTTCAAAGAAATGCTGGGGGTTATAGAGCAGGTTTTTCAAGGTTAGCATTTATTAATTATAGAAAACAGATAGTAATGCAAATGGTTCTTGTCCGTAGAAATGCAAATAATTTTTATATTGAGATGCAATTGATTTCCTTCCTGTAGAAAAGTGGATTTCAAACATGACATTTCAGCAGTTGTAGGTATTAGTCTATTAATGCATTCATTTCAGTACCTAGCAAGTACTAATAGCAAACTTGGTTCAGTTTTTTGTCTACTAGGAATGTTCTTTCAGCATCCCTGACGGCTTACATATGTTGAGTTCTCTTTTGAGTCAGTGGGACACCTTATTGGCTCTCTCTTCAATTACGAGTTAAAATCCTTGACACATGTCCATACCATACAAGGTGTCCCCCCAAAATGTATACACACTTTACAGCTGATAGCTCAATTGATGTTTCTTTCTTTTCAGATTTAACCCATTGGAATATATAATTATTCAAAGTGTGCAAACATTTTTTGGGATGCCCTGTATTTGTGCGCGATCATGGTTTTAACATTTTGAGGATTTTCCTGTCACAGTAATGAACAACCTTCAGGGGCTACCTGTCTGGTCCCTTTTACCTTGGCAGCCTGATTTTACACCCCAAAATTTCGACAAGAGAATTGGGATCCTCAAATCAAGTCGCTTTTCTCCTGAGAGTGGGCTCCACTGGCTGGGCTGGTCATGCTCACCCCCCTCAAGCTGCCCAGTGGGGTAACCGGGGAGGCAGTGGGGCACTGAGGAGGGGCAGTAAACCCCGTGTTGAATACCCTTGTTCTGAAGCCCATGACTGTCCCCCCACACAGGAGCCCTCACTGGTCAGACGTCCCCCTGAGTGCCTACCCCAGCCCTCCTCTCTCGTCTCCCATTTGCCCACCACCTGCACAGACTCTCGTCCCCTGTGGGAGAGTAGTGAGCCCTCCGTTTGTCCTGTAACACTTTATCACCAGGTTGTAGGGCCTTCTTTTCACGCCCAAATGACCCNGTTTGTCCTGTAACACTTTATCACCAGGTTGTAGGGCCTTCTTTTCATGCCCAAATGACCCATTCGGGTACTCAAGAACCAACAAAAATCAGTGAGGTTCCCACCCTAAGAGGAATTTTTCCGCCGCCGTAATTAGGATAAAATTCATAGCTCACCTTGTTCAGCACCTAGTGGGTGTCCAGAACTGTGCTGAGCACCTCACGTCGGGGCAGCTCATGGCCCTGACTTGGCTTCTTCATTCATGGAGACAATAGGAGAGACTGTTGGTCAGAACCAAGAGGCTCTCCACTAGATTTTAAAGTTATGCATTTCCTGTCCTGGAAAAAGATATTCTACATCCACTTAAGTGAACATGAATCTAGAATACATTTCTTAAATGCAAGAAGGCACATATTTCCAGGCAGCCCATTAGGTGATGAGTTTCATGATTATTCAACATAATACATTTAAATCTGAAGAATGTAAAATATGACCTTTAGGAACACAATACAGGGTTGAGGATTTCAGGGAGATTTGTGGTTCATTAAATCGTGAATTGATTTATATTCATCAGCTGTGGGGAAATTTCTAGCTAAGTGATTTCAGAATACCACGTATAACAGAAGCTTGCCAAAGGGTGGGTGTTGTTTACACCAATAACTTCATTATTAAGTTTAAGCCAGTTGCACACTGGCTTGCCTGCTTTACATAGTTAATTTTGTAAAGTAGATCAGTATAATATCACCTCAACTGGGACCTGTTTGAGAGTGAAAGAGTGCGGGTTTAATAATGACACCAAGACAACAGAGATAAACTGGGACTATCTTGAGCAAACAGGAACATGAGTCATTCTTGGATGGTCTGAGGTTTCCCAATCAGTCTGATTTTTAAACCACCCTCGATAGATAAAAATAGTATTTTAAAACTGAAGCTTAGAGGTCCTGGCCAAGTGGCTCAGTTGGTTAGAGTGTCATCCTGATAGCCAAGGTTGAGGGTTCAATCTCCAGTCAGGGCCCATACATGAATCAACCAATGAACGCATAAATAAGTGGAACAAATCTATGTTTCTCTCCCTCTCTTTTTCTCTCTCCATGCCTCCCTTCCTCTCTCTCTAAACATGAATACATTTTAAAAAATAAAAACTGAACCTTAAAGAAAGGTTTTGGGAAATTAACAGAAATAGAAACAAGTATATTGACTCGTTTGTCATAGGGCAAAAAAGCACAAAATAATTGTTGAATTTCAAATAGCATCAAGTCTCCTTGTGTGAGAGGTATTTTATCATTTATTTGGGATAGAATTTGGGTCAATACTGAAAGTGCCCACAAAGGGAAGTAATCACTGTACATTAAGGAGATGATTAAAAATTGTATTTAAAGACTTTATAAAAATTTAGAGAGCAGGGTCTTCAAGGTAGCCTGGAGTTGTGTAACCAATATACAAGGTTCTGGAGAACCTACGGTGATCTCTGAAGACTAAAGGCTCTTGCATCTGTGGTCTTCTGTGTGTTGGGTTCATTTTGCTTCCCTCTGTGGAACTCTAGGGCATGTTTGTGATGAAAAGTAAATAGAAAGAAGAGCAGAGCCTAAACATGTGCTGGCCTGCAATATCTAGACAATTATGGCACCAGTTCATTTCCTGGCCTCAGGATAACTGCCTCATTTGTCTCTTCACAATACGTGTGGGGAGATGGCATTAGATTTTAACAAGGATTATTATGTTCTTCAAATAACTAATATCGATCTCGTACAATTTTGCAAGTGGATTAGTTGACACGAGGCAGAAAGCTAGAATACATTTGCATTCGTTGGGTCAGTGGAGTCTCTCGCTGAAGTATTTTGTACGATATTATCTCATCATGACTAGGTAACCGATTACACCCAATTGCCTTATCTACTTTAGAAGCAACTGTTGGAGTGGAGGGAATAGTTAGGCGTTATTTTGTAGCTAAGCGTATATAATGGTACGGTGTATAGATGTAGGTGTGTGTGTAACTTAGTGTAAATAAACCCAACTGTATTTGTTGACACGAGATTCTATCTAGGGAGGTGGAGGTGAGTTAGAACAGCAAGCTGTCATACCTTGGTGGTTTGCCGGAGGCCAGACTGCAAAGGCTCCAGCAGATCTTGGGCAGAGATTAGAGGCTCCTTGTTTTTACTAAAGGTAATCTCTGCCTTCAAGTTACAAATTGGGTATGTTGCGTGTATGTGTGTGTAAATATATATATTTGTCCTGATTCCTGACACTTCAGAAATGTTTATAAAATACTATAAATCCCTTTCAGTGTCATATAAAGGTGAGGAGATACCTGAATGTCCATCTTACAGTTTTATATATTCTAAAAATCTGATTTCAAAGAAAGACAGCCTTTGTTCACTAAATCAATAAAAAAGGCCAGGGAAGGGATATTTGACCCAAATAGAGCTAAGTTTCAGTGCACCCAGGATGTTGAAGGTCATTACCATGGCCTGGATCCAGCCCTAGTGTTTCCTGCATTGGAGAGGAGTTGCCTAGGAAGGCAGAGGGAGGCATCAAAGCCCAGCGCCCGGCCGGCGTGGCCCAGTGGTTGAGCATTGACTTATGATTTAGTAGATGAGGTTCGATTCCCGGTCAGGGCACATGCCCGGGTTTCAGGCTCGATCCTCTGTAGGGGGCGTGCCGGAGGCAGCCGATCAATGACTCTGTCATCATTGATGTTTCTTTCTCTCCCCCTCCCTTCCTCTCTCTCCGAAATCAATAAAAAACATTTAAAAAAATTATTCCCCAAATCACACCGTGGAACTGAGCCTCAGAAGCTGTTGCTCTCGCCATGACCGGGAAGCTGCTTTGTCAGGAGGAGAGCAGAGGATTAAGGCGGTGCCCTGGGGTTAGGGAGTGAACAGGTGCCCATGAGGGGGATCAGCGAGGAATCGCTGGGAGAACTTGGACACGGAAACAGCAGCCAGGGAAGCAGGGGGTTCAGAACACAGGAGTGGCCAACCTTGTTAAATACAGTAAAGTTTTATTTAAAAAAAAAGGCAAGAGTAATAAGTATTGTTGACCTTGCCACTAGGTGACCCTTGCAAGGTCAGTTAGTGAGTTTGCCAGCGCAGTTTCTGGGGGATAGTGGAGAAAGCAGCCAGGCGGGTGAGATAAACAGTCGATGGGAATGAGCACCGGAGCAGCCTGTGTGGCACTGACAGCCCTTTCAAGGGGCGGAGTTGAAATGGAAAGGGAATAATACTGCGGCTAGAGAGGATCAGGGAGGTTTTATTTGTTGTTGTTCTATTTGCTTGGTCAAGAGGAACTTGAGCTTTATAATAGCAGAGAGGTCAGAGAGGGAAAGGGGTCAAGGATTAGATGGAGGGTGGAGTGTAAGAAGGCGACAGCTCATCCAATGACTGGAGGAAAGGAGGTGACGGTGGGACAGATGCAGGTATCGTGGTGTGAATGGCACCATAACTGCAACTAAATAATTGTCCTAACTTTCTTCTCCAAGTAGATGAGGTCACCTGCTGAGAAGAAAGGGCTAGATATTGGGTGTGGAGCTGGGAAGAGGTACAGGTTTGGAACAGTGGCTGTTGAGGACGAGTGAAGGCTTGTCGGTCAAGGGTATTGTCAGCCCAGATAAAACTGGAAATTGTGAATTCAAAGTAGGGCCAACCTGCCAGAAGGGGGTATGACTTAGTATTCTGCAGCCTTGGGCCGGGAGGGAGAGGCCGGTCATGGGGCCGTTGCACTGGCTTCCAGTTCAGGACGACGTTGGCCCCGTGTCTCGCATGTCCTAACCGAATGTGGTGTTTCCTGTTTGGGCGGCAGGTGCCTCAGTCGGGAACCCTGAAGCTGTCCCACTTGCAGGAGGGAACGTACACCTTTCAGCTCACTGTGACGGACACTGCCGGCCAGCGGAGCTCCGACAACGTCTCGGTGACAGTGCTGCCCCCGGCCTTCTCCACGGGAGGTGAGAAGAAAGTCCTTCCCTTGCCTTCACAGTGGCCAACAGAAACCAGAAGGATGGTATCGGATTGGCATCTTATATTCTAACTATGCATTCCATGGGCTCCTGCATTTTATTTTTGGGTGTTGTTGAATGAGAAACTCTCTACTGAAAATGTGATCACAAAAGTGGGCTCCATGATATTTTGGGAAAGCAGCACTGCCGGACTGGGGTGGGACAGGACTGTGCGCCCTGGGAACCAGAGAGGCTCCACCTTTCTTTGACTCGGTTTCCTAAAAGACAATTATCAGCTTTTCTAGGAGAGGATCTAGTTTAAAGGTGGGTGGTCTGTCTGACATATATGTTCAAGAGTGCAGCAAGGAGTACATTTAAGACAAATTCAAATATATGAAGTGCGTGTGTCAGTTTAAAAGAACTATTTAAAAATTTTCATGGAACCCTAGCCAGATTAGCTCAGCAGGTGGAGCTTAGGCCTGTGGACTGAAGGGTCCCGGGTTTGATTCCACCCAAGGGTACGTACCTGGGTTTCAGGCTCGATCCCTGGCCCCAGTAGGGGCGAGTGTAGAGGCAACCAATCGATATGTCTCTCTCTCTCTCCCCCTTCCACTCTCTGAAAAGCAATGGAAAAAATACCCTCAGGTGAAGATTAAAAAAATTTTTTTTCATGGACACGACACAGGTACACAGATATTACGTTAATAATATAACTTCCATGTGTATGACGGTGCTTATATTCTGTCGTCCAACGTTCAACCATTTATCTTATTTGTGTATGTGTCTTACTTTCCCAAACATCTACATTTCTAAGATTAGCCCATCAAGTTAAAAAACATGGAACTTGGCAGCACTAAAGGCACAGGCGTCCTGCAGAGGGAGGCCCCCACTGTTCCCTGTGGAGAGGTGCTGAGACAGTGTGTGTCTGAGGCTCCTGGCATTCAGTCCTGGAGTGGGGCGCCCCGCAGGCCTGGTCCGCACCCCCGTGCACTGAACCTGCACCGCCCCTCGCCGTGGCTCTGGTGAACTAGCAGCACGTCTCCGACAGCCTTGATTGCTCAGTGCTTAGATAGTAATTAAGCCCGCAGTTAAGTTAAAAGAATAAAGGGAAAAAGACTGGAATAGGACTGTGACTGACTTGAACCATTGCTGATCTTGTCTCCCACCAAAGCCCACAGAGATGCAAGCAACATTTGTAACTTGAGACTTGAAGTTCTCATTTAAACATTCCTATCATTAAAATTATTAATTTTGGGGGGGGGGGAATCAAGCTCAGACTCATGAAAAGAAGGAAGAAGTGGATTAACTTTCTGGTGTTTGTTAGTGATCACAACAAACAGAAGGGGCATTTAAACCAGACCATTGCCACTACAGCCATCCCATGGTAATGTGGTTTATCCCCAAACCGTGACCACGGCGGCTCTAAGGGCATAGGCAAGTTCCACACATTCATCCTATTGTGTAAATGCNCCACTACAGCCATCCCATGGTAATGTGGTTTATCCCCAAACCGTGACCACAGGGCGGCTCTCAGGGCATAGGCAAGTTCCACACATTCATCCTATTGTGTAAATGCTTATGTAAAGCAGAACTTGTCAGGTGGTGATGATATTCGAGGCCCAAGACCAGCCGTGCTTCTGTTCAAGGATGCGGTAAATGGCTAATGACAAAGGTCAGGCTGCTGTTCCTTCCATGAGGTGCCATCTCTGTGATGTTTGCTCCCACTGATGGGTGTGTCTGGAAATCAGGGTGCCTGGCGGCTGCGCCTGCTCAGATCTGTTGCTGACACTTCCCTGGGTGCTGTATTTGAAAAGAAAACCTCTGTACCCATGTGTTTACTGAGTAAACTGTTTAATGAATTGAAANCAAGGATGCGGTAAATGGCTAATGACAAAGGTCAGGCTGCTGTTCCTTCCATGAGGTGCCATCTCTGTGATGTTTGCTCCCACTGACGGGTGTGTCTGGAAATCAGGGTGCCTGGCGGCTGCGCCTGCTCAGATCTGTTGCTGACACTTCCCTGGGTGCTGTATTTGAAAAGAAAACCTCTGTACCCATGTGTTTACTGAGTAAACTGTTTAATGAATTGAAAAAAAAAAAGTGAAGGAAGATGATTTTAGAATCCTAAAGACTTGGCGACCTTGGCAATTTGCCTTACCCAGGGAATCAGAGCGTGAGCAGCATTCAGAATGTGGGTGGCTGACTGTCTGTCCAGCCAAAGTTTAATCTGACTGTAAGGAAAGAGAGGTGCGTGCACATGAACAGGCCAGAGACCAAACAGCTGCCCCCTGCGCTCTGGGAGGCAGGGATGGTGAGTGGAGCCTCAGCCCAGCCCCGATTCAAACAGGCCCTGTGGACTTATTGTGGCTGCACAGGACCAGATACTTACTCAGAACATTTTTTTAGTGCCTTCATGTGCTGGGCCTGCACCAGGGCCTTTAAACACGGCATTGGTCCAGCCAGTCACTCCCCAGTGTAGGGCTGCTGGGCCAAGAGGGCGGGTCTCCTGGGGTGGATTCCTGGCCTGGGCAGGGACAGAGTCAGGCACTTGTGGGAAGAAGACAGAGAAACCCCGTCACCTCTATGGAAATTAGAGGTGCCTGGGAGGGAGGCCGGGCCTGTGCTGGTAACAGGCTGGCGGCTAACACCTCACCCCCCATTTGTTCGTCCTGAGACTTACTCAGGCCAATTTTCCAGGCTCCAAAGGTAAATGGCCAGTTCTACATTTCTGGCCTTTCTCCAAGATACAATAAAATGCATTTGAAGTGAGTCATGTGAATCACTTCTGATTACTGAAAGGCCTCTTGGGTATAGGTCTAATGTAGGCAACTTTACATAGGAAATAAGGAAGCCAGCTGTATTCCTAACGGCCCTCTGGAGTCACTCACTGGTTACATTGGTAACATACTATGAATTAAAGTTAATAAAACACCATGTGGAGACATTGAAAACCAGAGATGGGGATCAAGAGGTGTTTCTCTCCCCTTTATTGTAAATATTGATCTTCTAGTTAATGACCCAGCTGTAATGGTAACCAAGGGTGGCATATTGTGCGGTAAACAAGAGAAGCACCTACTTCTGCGTAGGTGATAATAACTTGGTACAGTTTTGGGTAGAGAGGCTGCATGTTTTCAAGCTTTGGGGAAAATAATCTATTCAAAGAGCAAGTCAAGGTGGGCTGCCAGGATCGGTGAAGGATCTCAAGAAGGCTGGGCGAAAACTTGCTCTAAAAACCATGGACTGGGTGGCTTTTGGGGAGATCATACCCTGAAACCAGAAGGCCATTGCTAACACCCTGAAATCCTGGAATGAGACCCTCACCTCCAGGTTGGCTACTCTACTTGAGAAACCACCTGCCGTCGACTGGGCTTACGACAAGGCCAATGTAGTGAAGGCTGGCTCGGTAGATGACTGAGAAGAAGTTTAATGCCCTGAAGGTCCCTGTGCCAGAGAACAATACAGTGCCCTGGTGGGTTCTGAAGAGAAAGAAGATGTGAAAAGTTGTCCTGAGTTTTTGTCTCTCAAAGAGCAGGATTGAGCAAGACGAGAGAGAGCTGGAGAAGATGAGGAACATAATTCCATTTGATCGGATGACCACTGAGGATTTGAATGACGTCTTCCCAGAAACCAGATTAGACAAAAGGAAGTATCCCTACTGGCCTCACAAGCCAATTGAGAATTTATAAATTTGAGTGTAGGAGGAAGCTCTGGCCCTTGTATTATAAACTCTGGACATTAAAAATAATTATATAGTGAAAAACAAAAACAAAGAGCAAGTCAACAAACACTTCCAATAGGGTCTAGATTAATGGTCTCCAAATGGGATCCCCCACAAATGGTAAAGACATTTTCAGGATGGAAAAGAAGACACCAGGATTTATGTTTTATGAATTTTTAATCTTTTAAGTGCTCAGTATATTTNTCCTCCACAAATGGTAAAGACATTTTCAGGATGGAAAAGAAGACACCAGGATTTATGTTTTATGAATTTTTAATCTTTTAAGTGCTCAGTGTAACGTGGACAATATGCTAGCATAGTAGTACATGAATGTTATTTATAGATTGGAGATGTGTGTTCACCAATATGTTATTGATCAGGATGCACGGTCAGAAAAGTTTGGAGACCACCAATCCAGAAATAGATGGATAAATTATAAATATGGATCTAGCTCCAACACTACTGAGAACTAAATAAAACCTTGATATATTTAGGATGATTTTTACATCATGAGCTTGGGGACTGTGAGCAGTAGCTGTGTCCTGCTTGGTGTTCAGAGTCCCCTTCGCTTTTCCTCGTAACGCCTTCCCTGTGGTGGAAGCAGATTCTCCTTCCTAGGCCGAGGTTCTCAGTCACAGCTGAGGGCTCTAACTTCCTCTTCTTTCGCAGAAGCTTTAACCATAATTTCTTTTCTTTACGCTCTTCTTCCTCTTGCATTAATTACCTTCCCATTTCCTTGCGCTCAGATGGACTTCTTTGCCAGTCTTTACATTGAACTGCTTCCCAGTGGAGCCAGCATTTCGCTTGAGCGTGTATGCTATGCTCAGCCCCTGGTCTCAGCGGAATAGCATCGATGACCACTGCCCTTGTCCTGACAGATTGTCTAGTCCCTGGAAGATTATGGAACTCCTTAGGATCTACTTCCAGCCTGAAATCTTTCATCTGCGTTCCCAGTAACAGGAAGTCCCCCAGTTGTTATGTAGCCAAGACTGGTAGAGTTGGCTTAATCTAGAGTGGGGGATGCCTTTGAAGAAAATACATTGTAGCTCTTAGGAATTGCACTGTGGATAAAAAACTCTTAAAAGCTCCAAAAAGGAGACAATTTCATTATTCAAAGAAAAATTCATACCAGCTAGTATCTTAAGATTCTGTTTATTCTTTACTGCACAAGGAGGTACAGTAGTCAACAAATAGGGTGCACTAGTAAAAAGTTACCCTGTTAAAATCATTCCTTAGGAAACAAGAATGTGAGACATAGCCTGTGCAAGGTGGCCTGCCTGATAAAACACAGCCAGCCACCCCCGTACCGTGCAGGGTATGACCGAGGCAGAGGTGGCCGGAGGAACTTGTGCTGCAGAGTGAGGCCCGAGCGAGGGAGCCCAGGTCGGGGCGGAGAAGACGGAGCTGCTGCGTCCCTTCCCAGCTCGCAGGCGGTGTCGGTGGGCTTGGAGAGCAGCCCTGAAGTGAAGCCCTGGTGCTTCCTGAGAATTAAGTGACGGGGCCCCGAAGAGGCCCCCTAACTTTCCGGAGCCTATTGTCCAGCTCCCATTGTTAGCTGCTGCTTCATTACCCGCGTCTTTGCCCAGCCGCATTCCTCCTGCGCTTAGTCCCCGCTTCCCTGCCCTCCTGTGACCTGAGTCTTGTCTGTAAACAGGATGCTTGAAGGTCTGCTCACGCTACCACTTCTTCTGTGACGACGGCTGCTGCATTGACATCACGCTGGCCTGCGACGGAGTAGAGCAGTGTTCTGACGGGTCTGACGAAGCTTTCTGTCGAAACTGTGAGTCAGCTGCGTGGCACTTGGGGGGAGAGAGGACGTCTGTATTCTCACAACAACACGCAAAGTCATAGCTCTTTGTCTGCCCGGTTTCAGGTATAACTTTATGCAAACAAGCTTTGCTTCAAATCAAGCAGCATTTATTATGAGTCTAAAGCTCGTGGCGAAGGTCAAATATTCCACATTGCTTACGTTTTTCAGAAATCATTTTCAATTTTCCAAAAGATTCTTCACCACCCTAAAAATGCTGTATAGTATATGCTTTTTTAAAAAACTGCAGTGAGTTAACATTTTGTTTTGGTAAATTTTTTAGACAATTTATGACATGCTAGGATGTGGTTAAGTCTTCCGCAAAGCAGTCTCCTGTCATATAGGCATGCCAAGTGGGAAAGGAAAGCTGCAGAAAGTTAATGAAGTGCTGGTTTGAGGAAGGATGTGGTTTAATCTCACAAGCTAAGGTTTGAAAGTTTTGTCTTTGTCAATTTGTGTGACATTTAGAAGGTTAAGTATTGGAAGGAGAGAGGTTACTTACTTGAAAATGAGAGAGAAAGTTCTCATGGGACTCTGACATGTCTGAAATGATTAGGTTATTATTCCAAAATACCCATGACTTCAAATCTACTGCAAATTTCATGGTTTTAGTTAAAGTTCAGGAAAGAAGCCCAACAACTACCTTCCTCTTTCACGCTTCAGTGAGCCCTGAACGAAAGACAGTGACTCACACGGCCACTGCGCAGCCTAGAACCACAGGACCAAGCAAAGAGGCAACAGGGGGCTTCTCGGCAGAGAAGTCTCAGAAAGCCACTGATCCAAACCTGCCACCTGTGTTACCAGACACAGAGAAGAGGAATCATTCCACCTTTTGGGGACCAAAGATTCAAACTGACCCTGTGATGCCAGGTAAGGACTTGAGACAGATTCTCTTTAAAGACCCTCATTTTCTATAATGACACTTGGCTCAAAATTAAGGTTATATTTGAAGAGTATTAAGGAAATATCTTAAAAGAAAGAAGAGTTAAAATGAAGAATTTGGCTAAAAGAAAAAAATAAAACATGACATTTGCACCTATTATTTATAGTAAGAAACACCTACCTACTTAATACATTCATACATTGATACCTAGATACACACTCCAGAGGTATCAATACATTAATTTGTGAATAAGTGAGAGTTAGAACATTTTAACACCTATATTAAGGAAACTAATGCCCTAAGTGTTAAATTTTAGGTTATTTTGAGTTGAAGCAGTATAACCCCTATATATTCATGTAAATCCTCTTTACACTAAGCAAGTGAAAGTAAATACTATGTCATGTTGGTTATTATTATTTTAAATATATCTTTATTGATTTCAGAGAGAGGAAGGGAGAGGGGGGGAGAGAGAGAAACATCAATGATGAGAGAGTCATTGACCAGCTGCCTCCTGCACGGCCCTGACTGGGGACCGAGCCCACAACCCGGGCATGTGCCCCGACTGGGAATCGAACTGCGATCTCCTAGGTCAATGCTCAACTGCTGAGCCACGCCTGCCCAGGTGACTCTGTCATGTTGAAATGGTTGCATGTGCTAGTAATTCAGTGTTATGCCTGCAATTTAACTAAATCTGTAACTTTTAATTTTTAAAACAAAGCTAGTAAGATTTTAAAATACATTCACACTGTTGAAGCATTACAGGATTATATCATTTTCATTTTTTACACATTTATATGTGTACAACTGTATGGCGTGTGAGAAATACAGACTATCACATTTATATATGCTTTTGTGAATATCTTCTCAGTATTCAAGCTCTGCATACTTTAAACTGAAATAATCTGTCATTATTTTAATAATTTCTTTATGAAATTTTTTTGTTCATTGCAGAAGATCCAGAAGATGCAAATAATAAAAAGGAAATGGCTTAAAATATCAGCCTTTATTGAAAACAAATTTTAATGTTTTGGTGTATTTGCTTCCAATATTTTATCTGCTTTGTAGATTTTAAGTGCCTTCGCAGGGCCTTTCTTTTTGACTGGTTAGGTTAAGTGCACTTCAGATGCCCGCTTTGGTCAATTCCTTGTCGAAGGAATTACCGCCACCTAATGGGCAGATCGGTCCACTCCAGCCCTGCCTTGGGATTTCAGTCGTTTTCTCCACATGGAGAAGACAGCCACCTGAGAAACAGAGCCAGGGGAGCCCAGGTGTTTTTGGCAGCAGGGAGGAAGAGCTGATGGAGAGGACCACGTGTTTGAGGCCAGGGTGGATGAACTCTCGCTACGTCTCTGTGGCAGAGAGGCCACGTGAGCATGAATGAGTTCACTGGGGGCACCGGGGAGAGGTCTCAGGGGAGCATCTCCACAGCGCATCCAGTCTGGGGTTTGCCGGCACTAATGGCACCCACTGGGCCTCTGTTATCTATCTCCTTGACCAGGGTGACTTAAGCTACCCACTCTCAGGTTGGGGAGAGGTGTAAACCATCTGCTCCTAAGTGTCCTTGGTTAGGGAAGATAAGATCTTGTGATTTATTAGCAGGCTGTTAATTGCTTGGCCTTGTTTAACTATTTGCCTCAGTTTCCCTTCTTCCACTTGCCAAGGAATTTCCTAGCTTCTTACTATCCTCCCTCAATCCCAGCGCTGGCTCCTGGGGAGTGAGGACTCAGCCTCAGAGTCATTTTGAAAATAATGCTCCAGACGGCCACTGTTAGTAAATGGGAGTTGCCGCTCAATTTGAAATATATTTGCACTCTCTGTTTTTGATAGTAAGCCTTTGATTGGGCTATGAAGATGTAAGGAATGGAGTTTCAGAGATGCGGAGAGACTGGATAGCCAGTTATTTCTAATATATATTGTTGTTTCCTAATTACTAAAGTGATATGCATTTACTCTCGAAAATTGGAAAAATACAGGAAAAAAAATTTAAATCGTCTAGCAAAACTCACCGGTAACATTATGTTACATTTTTCTTCTGGCTACTTTTATTTATACACATATGTGCACACATTTATTTACTTTTAACAAAATTAGAATATTATTTTTACAAAACTTTTATTTTTCTTACTTATGAGCCTTTCTATGTGTTATTAAATATCCATCAAAAACCCATGTTGGAAATCCAGGGTAAAGAAAGGGGGACAAGAACAGAACTTGGAAATGTTAGAAAGGGCCCTCAGAGCGCAGGGCTTTGTTTACACAGCAGCCATCACCCCCACTCCCACCATTACCCCCAGCTTCCAGTTTCCTGTGAGTTGAAATGATGTTATACTCAGCATAACATAAATAGATTTAAAAATACAGTACTGTTCATGACCTAGGCCTGAGTGGTGCAAGGATCATCAGCCAGTGGAGTAAATATGGACAAGTTAAATCTGCGGCCTCCTTCCTCCCACAGACATGTTTTGAGCATAAAAAAACTTGACTCATAGACATGCTGAAGAGATGCGAAGATTAACACTAGTGATGCAGTACAGCAAGTAATGAGAGGCAGCCTTTCATCTATCGCATTGGCAGAGGTGAAAGTATAATTAATGCTTATGAGAGTACAGAGAAGCAAGTCTCATGCCCTTTTAGTGGGACTGACTTTACAATGTTCCATTATCCAGTTGATTTGTAATCCTTAGCAAATGCATGTCTATTTCTTAGTACAAATTACCAAATAAATTTATATGGTCCCTCTAAATAGTCTTATTTCAGCTGCAGGTGTCCTGAATTTTCTGTTGATGCCGTATGAGCAGAGAAGCTTAAAAAATCCTTTTTTGTTTCTCCGTAAAATCCCTCATGTCAGCCGATCATTTCTATTTCATGGACATTAAGGATTATATTTCCCCAAAATCGCACTTGAAATCACACCACAGCATGAGGGTAACTTTACTGACTCACTAGTTATTATATTGTCAATGGAATAAGCACCCGGCTGCTATAAATTACTAGAGAGAAATGACAGAATGGCATGGCCATGGCTCGTCAGAACCTGGGATAAAAATTCTAGGATTTTATCTTTCTTAACACCTCCTCTCAATAGTATAACGGAATAGAATGGTTGACAGCATGTCATTGAGTCAGAGGTCCTGGTTTCCACCAANCTCGTCAGAACCTGGGATAAAAATTCTAGGATTTTATCTTTCTTAACACCTCCTCTCAATAGTATAACGGAATAGAATGGTTGACAATTAACAGCGTGTCATTGAGTCAGAGGTCCTGGTTTCCACCAACAAGCAGACACACCTGAACTGAAACCCAGCCCGGGGCCCACTTACCGTGCGAATGAACCTGGGCTCGTGCTGAACCTCTGAGTCTAACCAGAAAACCGGGCCGGGTGAGAGAGGACAGCACGTCTGCGCCTTTTGTATGCGCTGTTCGTTTCTATGAAGAAAAACCTTTCTGGACCGTTTCTGCTTTTTCATTTTACAGAGTTCAGAGACTACCCTTGACTTTTCTAGCCCAGTTCTTTCCTCCCTCCTCTGGGGTGGGGGTGGAGCCCTGGTACCGTGTGCTCGTTCCCCTTTCTCTGTCCCGTGGTTTTGTACCAACCACACACTCTGCTTATTAAACCGGTCACATTAGTTATCCAGTGTGTTAGTATCAATCATAGGCCTATATTTATTAGAGAAATAGATCCTGTAAGTCCTTTCTTTAAGTCCATCCTAAAAAAATAAATCAGGCTGTATTCTCATGTTTGTTTCCTAAAGTTTCTGGTGTACCCTCAACGAGTGTTCTACTTATTTTCCACAGATAGTGGCTCCTCAGGGAAGAATGGAAAAGAGGAAAATTATATTTTTGAGTCAAAGAGCGATCCAAGAGGAGAAGAACACCCTGCCCCAGAAATAGGTAAATATATAGCTTGGAAATGCATTGTGGCGTATTAAGAGTCGCAGAATCACATACCCTGTAGTTGAGGATATTAGTTAAAGCTAATAACAAGAGCAGTGATCTGTGGATCAGAGCTGCAATCTCCCCTCCTATATCAAGCGTCCCCGTTGGGCTCTTACACAAGTCACCTTCCATCTTTGACCTCAGTCAGCTTCCTCTTTTATAAATTGACTGGGCTAGATAATCACTGTGCTCCCTTCCAGGTGTAACCTCCTGTGGAAAGAGTAGCATTCATGGCACAGCGGTTAGAACATGGGCTCTAGCTCTAGAACCAGACGCCAAGGTTCAGATCCCTGCTCCACCACTAAACTCTCTGCCCTTGGGCAGGTTATCTTATCTCTGGGTCTCAATTTCCTCACGAGCAAGATGGAGCTAATAGCTATACCTGCCCCACAGAGCCGTTAGGGAGAGTAAATGGGACAGTTAACAGAAAGCATTCAGCACAGTGCATGGCTCATACAACGCGCCATATAAATGATGGCTATTACGATTGAGCCATTTATGATACAAGAGTAAAGGTCTTAGAGGACCCAGTTCTCTCTCCAAGTGTCCTCGTAACAAAGACAGAAGACAACAGGAACAGGGAAACTGTAGGAGGTGGAGGGAATATTCAGTAAATGGAAGAAAAGCATCATAATTCCATAATCTCGGTTGTATTTAACTAGAAAGAAAACACTTCCTGCATAGGCCCGTAGAAAGTCAGGCTTTAGTCCTAAATCCCACAAACTAATTAGTGAAAATTTAGGGGAACAAAATAGGATTCTTAAGTTATAGATCCAAATTGAGAAAACTTTCTCTTTACCTTAGAGTGTTCTTTGTAAGTCCTGGACAATATTAAATAAGAGACGGCCAGAGTATTCCAGATGTCAAACACCTAGATGCAGCCCAGTCTGCTGTTCTGCTGGCCTTACCTGTCCCAAGATATGGGAATAAGAGCCCCTCCCAGTCACATGAACAGAATACCTGATCTGTCCTTAGCTGGTTGCTGAGAAAACTGTCATGACGTGGTTTAAAGGGGTTAGAAAATTTTCAATCTCAAACTACCCAAACTGAAAACATTGAACAGGTACTCGAAAGTACTTAAAAGTTGAGAATAATTTTCAGTACTCTAGCAAGTACTTTTTAAATTTTTTATTTTATTTCTTCCATCACCATTTATCCCCTCTATGCCCTTTNTGAACAGGTACTCGAAAGTACTTAAAAGTCGAGAATAATTTTCAGTACTCTAGCAAGTACTTTTTAAATTTTTTATTTTATTTCTTCCATCATTTATCCCCTCTATGCCCTCTTCCACCCCCACCCCCCAGTCACAAGGCTGTTGTCCGTGTCCATGAGTTTCTCTCTCTCGTTCTCTCTCTCTCTTCTTTCTAGCAAGTACTTTATGGGAGATTCCGTTTTCGTCATCAAAGCATTAAACAGGAATCCGATCTGACCGTTCAGCAACCTCATATCTGACTTAGCAAACAGAAAATTCCCCTAGATTGTATGTCTGTCTCATTGTCACCCTCTCCCCTGAACACTGGTGCTCATCCTTAAATGAGTGACACACATTTAGAAGGGCAGCCTTTGGTCATCTCCCTGCCCCGAACAGGCAGAGGTTGACCCAAGTCTCTCTCGTCCCATTCCTTTGTAACATCCAGCCTACGGGGCTAGTGTGGGACGATGCAGGAGGGAATGACACCGTCGTGGCGCTTAGCCACTTCAGAACTGCCTTCCTCGGGGAGGCCATTAGGAAGCCCGAGTAGCCAAAGCCGAGCTGTCAGCGCGNGCCACTTCAGAACTGCCTTCCTCAGGGAGGCCATTAGGAAGCCCGAGTAGCCAAAGCCGAGCTGTCGGCGCCGAGAAATCTGCAGTGATTCCCGAGTCCTCCGAGGGCTGGTGAGTGTGGAATGAGAGAGCCAGCTGTAGGGTCATATCCTAGACGGTTGGTTTATCACAGATTTCTGTCTTTCCCAGTTCTCTATGGGACTGTCACCCAAAACTTGGGTACCCAACAGTCACTAACACAACTTCCACAGCCCCTCCCCCACGCCCAGACTCCTCCAGACAGAATCTTCTTCAGGAGTTTTACCTGGGACGCTACAGACACCCCAGTAGTTGAAATGCCATTGGTATGTACTTGGCTCTAGGTCCTCGTGTCTTGGAGAGGCGGCCACTCAACCTGGAACCAGATTTAAGCCCTGAAAATCAAGCTCTGGGGAGTGAACTTCCTCAGCTACCTACCCTCAGCCGTAAACCCTCCTCTGTGTTAGGTTTGCATCCACCCTCTCCCTTCCCTCCAGCAAAGGACGAGAGGGCCCTCTCCCCAGGCCGGGCTCTCCCCCACCTCGGGGCAGCCCCTTATCTCCTCGGGTGCATTTCTGCATCGTTTATTAGCCCTTCTATGTTTCCACTCCATTTCTCTACTGGCTCGTTCCCCCGACAGCTGCGGACGCGGGGATCCCCCCAGTAGTGTCCCTCAGCCTGCAGCCTCCCTCTGAAGGAAGCTGCAGCTGCTCAGCCAGCGGCCCCCTGGGCTTCCCCTCGCCCGCCTCTCCGGCCCCTGATTCAGCGCAGCACTGTCCCTCTTAACGGTCTCCCTCCGTTCCCGCAGCGCCTGTCCCTGTGGGTGCCGTACCATCTCTCTGACCCGTATTTTTCTTTCCTTCTGGTCTTCTCCTTTGTCCGCCCCCTTAAATGTCGGTGTTTCTCAGCGCCTCCTTCCTGGCCTTTCTTCCTTCCCCTCTGGCAATCTCCCTCACTTCAGTGGCTGCAACCGCCACCTGGATGCTAAAGGCTCCCACCCAGTGAGGCCCAGATAACCCATGAGCCTAACAGAAAACCCCACCCGGGTCACCTCTGGGAATCTCAATCTGCAAATGTCAAAAAACAAACTCATCTCCCCGCCCACCCACAGCCCCATCGTGCGGCCAGATCCCTCAAGCAAAGGTCCAGTGAACCGGATACGCGGACCCCTCCTCTTACACTTGGACTTCTTATTGCATCTTTTCACTTCTGCCGACCCAGACTTGAGGTCACTAAGAAACTACCTCCTTTACCTTTGGAGCAGTGCTGGACCACAGTGGTCTTGAAGCTGCACCGTCTGGGGCTGTGTCCGAGCTCCACCTCTCACCATACAGACAAACCAGCGCTTGATTCTCGATGCCTTGGTTCCCCCATGTGTAAAGTGGGGGTGAGAATTCTACCAACCCATGTGGTGGTTGTGAGTTACCTGAGTGAAGCCACAAAGCGTGGAGGACAGCGCCGGCATTAGCGTATTATCTTTGATCACCAGCACTTAGCTCAGTGTCCGCACGCGGATGTTAACGCAGGGGGATGAATAAATGAATGAAAGAAGAGGTTATAGAGTCGGCTTATGCAATGGAGACTTTGCTCCTCTAGTTCCATCAGCTGGCAAGACCCTAAAAATAGCTCCACCGTCTCATCTGCAAGACTGGACTGACCACAAAGTAGGTCAGACTAAAGATAGGGCCTCCTGAGCTCGGCAAGACTCATCTGCTTTTCCCCAGGCTTGACTTTTTTAGATTCCACATATAAGTGACATCACATAATAATGGTCTTTCTCTGCCTGACTTATCTCAGTAAATAAGTCACAGAGAGCTAAATGTGCAGGATGATTATAGACAATATTGGACTGTAATGATGTATGTGATAAATGTTGCTTCAGTGGCAAGTGGACTGCGATATATAAATGTATCAAAGTAACAGGCTATATATCTTAAAGTTATCAAACGTAACATATCAAATTTATCATATTAAAAAAAAAAAAAGAAAGACTGGCCCTAGCTGATTTGGCTCAGTGGTTAGAGCATCGGCCTGCAGACTGAAGGGTCCCGGGTTCGATTCTGGCCAAGGGCGTGTACTTCGGTTGCAGGTTTGATCCCAGGCCCCAGTCGGGGTGTGTGCGGGAGGCAACCAATTGGTGCATCTCTCTCACATCTCTCTCCTTTCTGCTGTCTCTGAAAAGCAGTGGAAAAAATTTCCTCAGGTGAGGATTAAAAAATAATAATAAAAGAAGGAAGGAAGGAAGGAAGGAAGGAAGGAAGGAAGGGAGGGAGGGAGGGAGGGAGGGAGAGAGTAGCCCAGGGCATGCCCTGTTCCTCCCAGACTCCCGCAAGCCTCCAAAGGNAAAGAAAAGAAGGAAGGAAGGAAGGGAGGGAGGGAGGGAGGGACAGCGTAGCCCAGGGCATGCCCTGTTCCTCCCAGACTCCCGCAAGCCTCCAAAGGCTGCTTCCAGGCTGGGTCTATAGGAACCACCCCACAGCAAAACCCTGTGAAGGAAAATTAAAGATGTTTTTCCCCTCAGCTACTCTTAGCCAAAATCACACCAGCATATTTTGAAGTTAGTTTTCAGCGGTGGTTTTACTGGTTGAAAGTACGTTCCCTGGGCTTGGAAAAGGAAATGAAAATGTAAAGCCCTAACCAGAACAGAAATCACTTGTTTTAGGAGAGAATGATCATAAATTGGGATGCCATAAAGGTCACCTGTGACCGCAGTGAAGTTTCTTGTGGTTACAGTGTCTACACAGGACACTGGTGACCACACCCTGTGACAGGATGTGGATATGAGGCTGATCTGACTGATGCCATCAAATTCTGTCGTAACCTGGTAGAGAATGTGGGTTTAAAGAAGTCTGGGTTTGAGACCTAGACCTGCTACATTCAAGCTATGTGCCCTTAAGTCCATTAATCTCTCGGCGCCTCGAGCTGCAAAATGATGGTAATACAGGTATCTACTTCAGGGCGTTCTTTCGAGTACATGATGCCGCATGCGAAGTGCTGATCAATGCCGCTGCTATCGATCGCTGACCCCCCCTCCCCACCTCCGCCCCGCTCACAGGTGCGGTGCTGCCCCTGACCCTGGGCTTGGCCATCGCGGCGCTGCTGCTCCTCATGGCCGCCTGCCGACTGCGCCTGCTGAAGCAGAAGCTGAAAAAAGCTCGTCCCATCACATCCGAGGAATCCGACTACCTCATCAACGGGATGTATCTCTAAGTGTAACTTAAGTAGCTGGGGCAAGGACGTGTTTCACTCGTATCTTATCCATATATTGCGTTTGGGATATTTAGAATTTGTTTTTAACTGGGCTAAGAAAGGTATGGAAAACCCAGAAGGCTCTACAAGCCCAAACCTTTGTTCTTATTTACTATAGAAAGATTTTCCTTGGGCAGTATGTGGAATGTTTTGAAATTTAGAGGAGTCCATACGGTTAAACATAAATCTAATTCTGATTTACATAAGCTGCCCCTGAAAATAGAAATTTGTAGTTAGCCAAGGCAGAAAACTTAGTATCTCAAGAGATGGGCTCAGACAGCAGTGCTAACGACCCTTTACTTTTTAGAAGCCACGGGCCCCTGGCCAGCCCGGACCACCCCGTGCACAGCTTCCCCTGTTCTGTGGCCCTCCTGTCCCTCACTTGATGCTTGCACAGCTCTCCTTTCTCTTCTCCCCTTCAAAACCTGTTTCTGAGAATGGATCTCAAGCGAGCTTACCTTCAGTGAGATGTTACCTGTGTCAGGAATATCTAAATTATAAACCTTAAGAACAGGTGGGTGACGTCTCAGGGAAGGTGAATGTGTGTTCTTTCCATCGCCGCTGACATCAAGTCATGTAGGCGGCTGCCTCGTTAGGCTGGCCTTTGGCAGGAAAAACACACTGAACTACAAATAGCTCTGACACGGTCATGAAGTGATGCAGGAAATCAAGGTGGAAGCGGAGAACCTGGCAGGTCAAAAAATCTTAACAGTAACTTAGCTGAGGGCCACGCGAGCCAGGAGGACTATCGCTGCTTTCCCGAGTCTACCCCACACTGCTTGATGATCCAGGACACAGCAGCTCATTTTTATAGTCACCAGTTCTCAGCATCAGTCTGTGCTGGGGGGAGAGGAAAATGCATTTACATTGAGAAGTGGAACAGTGAGTGGAGTTCTGGGTGCCACTTTGGTTCAAATGTCACATGTCTGTGTATCAGCAGGTTCTTTCATCCACTGGAATGAGTTTTCCCCATTATTTATTTAATGCTATAAAATGTTATAATGTGCAGTCAGCTAATGCCAGGCTATGTATTCCCAGAACATAAAGCAGTTTTGCACAAATTCATCTTTACAGAAAACTGGCATCTAGTTTAGCATCTTTTTTTTTTTTTGGATAGGATTTTAAAGGCAAATTATTCCCATCATCACCTAATGCCAGAATTGTACATTTTCTAGAAATTCTTCTTCTGAGTGGACTATATAGTTTGGTGCCTGTCTACACTCACATGATGTCACTACTTGCATATTTTTTTGTGTTTGTTTTTTATCATAAGTGGCAAATCTTTTAAAATTCTGGAAAACACTCTAGGACACATTTGCAGACTGAGCCTGAGATAGGATATTCCTTTAGCAAAGAGCTTAATTTGGGTTGGAGATATAACCGAATATGTTAACAAATGGGAAGTTAGTTCCAGAAAAACAGAGAAATTAGTTATTTTCAGTTCCTGAAAAGTTCACGCATTTTATTGAAAGTTTAGAATTGAGCAAAGATTTAAAATTTTCAAGGGCAGTTCAGAGAAATGGCTGTGAATGAACTTACGATGTTTGTACTCTGCTGCTGCTGTGCCCTTTGCCTGTCTCTGGAAGGATGTCACCTATAGCCATACCCAATAAAATGAAAACTGTTGAGTCATGTCTTTCAGCACATCATTTATACGTGGAGAAATTAAATAGTTTAGTATTGCTATGACACTGAAATACTCTAGAAAAGATGTCCCCACTACAATAGTCTCTTAATGAATTGTAATTTATTCTTAAGCCTTTATAACTTTTTAATATACTCATAAGTTGCCAGTATCTACTGAGCTGGACTCTTACCTGGGTTTAATCATACCAACCCTATTTTACAAAGAGGGAAATTGGGGATTAGAGGAGCAGAATCAAGATGTTCAAAATATTTATATTGTCAGATGGACAGAACAGGACCTTTTAAAGTCAACTAACCTGTTGATTGTGTGATTGAAGGAGTTCTACATCTAAGACAAATTAAAAATAATTTTAAAGGGAAAGTTGTCCACAATTTATCTCTCAAACACGTCCTTGTGTTTCACATCTCTTCTCCTGAGAAAAGGCAACTATCTTTCTGAAAATTGAAAAGCTTCCGGCGCTGCTCAGTGGTTAGAGCGCCGGCCTGTGCACCGGAGGGTCTCGGGTTTGATTTCGCGTCAAGGGCACATACCTCAGTTGTGTCCGATCCCCGCCCCTAGTATGGGCGCATGTGGGAGTCAACCAACCAATGTGTCTCTGTCACACCCATGTTTCTCCCTCTCCTCTCGCTCTCCATACCCCCGCCCTTCCACTCTCTCTAAAAATCAATGGAAAAAATATCCTCGCTCCTTAGGTGAGGAATAAAAAACAACACAAGGCTTCTTTCCTTTGATCCTCAGTACAAGTGGACAACAGCTACCCCTCTGCCTTCCACAGCATTTTTAAAAAATTTATCTTTATTGTTGAGAGTATTACAGGTGTCCCATTTCCGCCCCCCAGTTGACCTCCTCCACCTCGCTCCCACCCCCGNGACTGTGTCCATGGGTTATGCATATATGCATATAACTTCTTTGGTTAATCTCTTCCCACCCTCCACCCCCCTTCCCTCTTTCCTCTGAAATACGATCGTCTGTTGCATGCGTCGATGTCTCTGGGTCTATTTAATTCATCAGGTTCCTTTGTTCATTAGCTTCTTCTTAAAGAAGACCCTTCAACTTTTCCTGTAGTGCTGGTCTGGGGGTGATGAACTCCTTTAGCTTTTTCTTATCTGGGAAGCTCTTTATCTGACCTTCATTCTAAATGATAGCTTTGCTGGGTAGAGCAATCTTGGTTGTAGTTCCATGTTTTTCATCACTTTGAGTATTTCTTGCTACTCCCTTCTGGCTTGCAAGGTTTCTGTTGAGAATTCAGCTGACAGTCATATGGGGGCTCCCTTGTAGGTATCTAACTGCTTTTCTCTTACTGCTTTTAAGATTCTTTGTTGTTAACCTTTGGCATTTTAATTATGATGTGTTTTGCAGTGGGCCTCTTTGGGTTCCTCTTGTTTGGGACCCTCTGTGCTTCCCAAACTTGTAAGTCTAATTCTTTCCCCAGGTAGGGGAAGTTTTCTGTCATTATTTTTTCAAATAGGTTTTCAATTTCTTGGTCTCTTTCTTCCCCTTCTGTCACCCCAATAATACGAATGTTGGGCCTCTTGAAGTTGTCCCAGAAGCTCCTTATACTATCTTCATATTTTGGATTCTTTTTTCTTTTTGCTCTTCAGGTTGGGTGTTTTTTGCTTCCTCATGTTCCAAATTGCCAATTTGATCTCAGTGTCCTCTGCTCTACTGTTGATTCCCTGTAAATTATTCATTTCAGTTTGTGTAGCCTTCATTTCTGATTGGTACTTTATTATGTCATTGATGATCTCACTAGTTCCCATAATAGTCTTACTAAGATCCTTGAGCATCCTCATAACCATTATTCTGAACTCTG